ATGTCTATGATATGTGAACACGTGCATGCCATAAATTCAAAAGTCAGATAAATCTTACATCTTACTATTATTTCTTTTAACAACTTCTTGAACAATTTCGCGAATTACTCGAAGCCAGAGACGAGTTAAGGTATGCGACATCGTCGGATTCATCGATCTTAATAAAACACGCTGCCATTCGTACGGTACCAATGAGATCTTGGGATTATCATCATTACCGACGTTAACGTCGTCATCAACTTCATTATCGTAAGCGTGCGCCGCTTGCGGCTTAACAGTAACATGCAACCCTCCTCACGCGAGCTTCGGTCTTAGGAGCGGATTGTCACGCGGATAAGACCAAATGTGAAATGTAAAAGCGAGGTGACATTCTCCCCCCCTCTTTCACCTCTCGCGCAACAAAGTACTCCGTCGAATTTTGACAGCTTTAAGAAATGCGTTTTGTGGTGTGAAAACAGTTCGTTAAGCAGCATAGATCGAACGCGTTTAATGGTGCGGATTGATTGAAAAATTCTTGACGGATTTTGATGTAATAATTTTACCAATAAATGAAAATTATCTCTCGCCAGAAATAAAAAAAAAATATATTAATTTTGTATTAAGAGAAATTATTTGACTTAATGTTACGTATAAAATTGTTATGTCTATTAGAAATGTTTTATTATAATCTACATCTGTTTTCGAAAATTTAATCTTCTGTAAGTGGTCACAATTTAATAGCTAGTAGTGTACATGATCAAAATGTATAACGGATCCCGACGGCTAATGGAAATGTATGAGTCCATTAGTTTCGCACTTTTAGCTTGATCCTGCCGTCAGTGTCGCGTAGTGTAACATACTGTTTCAAACTCGACGACAGGTATACGCTGTTCGCGCGTAGAGTACAAAAAGGACGCAGCTTGCATGTTGCAGTATGAGCAAACGGACCAGCGCGTACAGCGCTATTCTTACTAATGGCGTTAGTGAAACACAAAAACGTTCGTAATACGCAGTCACTTCGATAAAAAATTTAATAGCAAATGGAGAATAATCATCAAGAGAGAGAATTGAAGATCGAGAAATATGATATTATCCGATAAAAAGGTATCGTTTATATCATAAACTTGATGCATATTTTTTTTTATAAAAGGAATGGTTACAAATTGTTTTTTAATTTTTAAAGGCTTTACTCTAATTGCTAGATGATGTATTTTAAGTGAAAGAGAAATTCTGTTAATTTGCAAAACGCATAATGTTTATGAAATTTGAAAATCATATTCCAATAAAAATTGTAATATTACTATCTGCACTGTTTGTGCGCTGCAATGATAATTTTGTGCAACAAAGTCGCGAGTATATATCACAGATTGTAGAATTGCATGTTTCTCAAAAGATTACAGAAACATTATTTTCGGTGTAGCGTGCCACCCGCAATGTGCTTTCGCGTACAAGTGTTATATCTCATGACAGGATTTAATGAGGTCCTCCCCAGAGGCGAGAGGTAAATTTCGCTTTAGTTCAAAGAGTTGCTCTTTGCCCCGATGCTACCTTTGACGTTTTATCTCCTTGTTTAATATAATTAATTCGGCATTTTTATTTCTGCACAAACACGCACGCATATGCTCACATATTTTCTTCCCATTTCCCGAATATTCATGTAAATTTAAATACAAAATATATGTGATCGCAAGTGCAAACTTTTCACCTTGTTACAAATTTCAATTCGGATTTACAAACCTTATTTATTATATTTATCTTTGCATGTTTCGGTCATTTTTTATATTAAACTATATGCATTCATTACTTTTAGTAAATTCAAAATTAATAAGAATGCCTGTTAATAAATCAATATATCGCAATCAAATAAAAGACTGCAAATTATCAAGTTGTTTCAAAAGGGTATTTTGTAGTATTTGTCAATTGTATATTGATAAAAATCTTGCAATCCTCTGCTCCGATTCTCTATGATGCGAGCGCATTTCATAGCCATTCGCATGCATTCCTATTCTCAGTATGTGCACGTGCGAGCCTATAAGCTTGTGCAAATGCGAATACTCGCGTGTGTCAATGTGCATAACACTTGGTATTACTGCACATCAACGACGCGGCGTGACTGCGCATCCGTTTGCTTAGCTGCAACTGTTAATTTCGTCGGCATATTGAGCATATTTGAGCGTGTATACGACGTCTACCGTCCGACGTTAAATGATTGGCCAATCCGAGAGGTTAAACATTGACTCTATCGCGGGTGTCGGTACATACACCTTTCTCTCTCTCTCTCTCT